GTTCGAAGACAGGTGAGCGGTATCAGTGAGTTGACCTGGGGATATGTTTCAGGGACTGTCTTCATCCTGTGCTTTTGCAAGTTCGTTCCAAACACGTCCTGGGTCATGGAAGTCATTTGGAACGCAAGTTGCTAAAAGGCGGCAGAGCGACGGGGTTTTTCGCTCGTCAGAGGGTTTGTAATGAGCCTTGACTGCTCCATGCAGCCAGCTTTCGCATTCAAGCTGCGCTATCAGGGTGCGTGTAGCGCTTACCCGATCATGGAATCGAAGCATGAGCTGGAATAAAGGACGAGAGCCATTTAAGATGCTGTTCTTAGCTTGAGCTGAGTGTCAAAGAATGAAAAGCGGAGGCTTCGGTGGCAAAAAGCACAGCGGCTTCTCAACTCTTTGACAGAACAGACGAAGGACCGAAGACTGTGCATCGAGGCCTTTCCTCACTGCGGCTTCTGGCGCTTCTCGACGTCTGCTCCATTACCCTCACGTTTGCAATCCAAAATCCTCAAAAACTACTGCTCATCCATGTATTTGGTACCAAAACTCGGCCCCGCCACGTGTATTTCCCAGGTACGAGGACGTCATCTCGGGGCTGATCTCCGCGAAGCTGTCCAACCCGGACATCCGCATCGTGGACAACACGGCCATGCTCTCCTTTAACGCGCTCGTCTTCAGCATGCGCGCGCTCATTGCGGAAGCCAACGACCTGGAAAACAACGTGCGGGAGTTGCTGCAGGTGGGCGCTCCGCGTTTGCTGACGTTGCACTTTACGTCAGACCTGGCCGCCCGAACCTGACTCCTATTCTGGTCGTTGTCGCATTGTAGCAATGCACTTGGATTTGTTCTCTGATTGGCAGAGGTTGAACTTGAGTCAGATTCCCCGGGAAGCTCCTGTTTTCTGCGTGTTGATGGGATTGGTGCCGTGGGTGTTGCGGCTCTACTTTGCTCCAAATCGCCTTACGTACCCTTCTCGTCAGGTGTGCTCGCTCCCTGTAGTCAGGTTTGCATTCTTTGCAACTTGGGGCCACCGGCCTCCAGTGCGGGTCTGCAACTTCGTTCTACAGGGAAACAGTAGTCGCGCACTTTGACCCAAACAACTAGGATTCGAGAAGAGTTGACCGGGCCAGCTTGGAGAAAACTGCACCGGATCCAACGGATTCCCTTCGTTGGTTGCAGGTCGAAAGTCCCGTTGACCTTGTCAAGTGCATCAATCCAAATCATTATTCTGATTCAGAGCCTTTCCTTACGGAAGACGAAGGGCGCCGACGTAGTGATTAACCAACTCAATAAAAGGTATTTGATCTATGGATGCACTGTTGCAGCAACGGACTCTTTTATATGAAGGTCTGTTTAATCTGCAAGGTTATCAAAGTCTGCCAGCACAATGTTGTCCTTAACTGAAAATTGATTGATCTAATGTATTCCGGGGCGTTCCAAGTAATCGACTCTCTACCAATGACTTCTTCCACGTGCCCTTTCACCGAGCACCTATGGTGAAAACCTAGTCCTCAAAAAGGAACGGCCAAGAATAGAGAACGTTTTGCGTAGAAGCGATTGCATTCGGCGGCTATAGCTTAGAGTGCCGCATGTATGGTCGTGGTTGGACGTGAAAATAGTGACCTGTTCATTACTTCCAAATTGCTAGTGTTGTTAACGCATACTACATGCTGATGATGGTATATCCGATAGATCTTCAGTTGCGCGCTACTCAGTCGGTTGGGACCCTCCCGCAACAGTCAGCTAGGCTCGCATGCAAGCCTAGCTGGGGTTGCCTAGTTGCAACATGCCATGGCAATCTAACGTATCGCATGACAGCTTAAGCGCACAGCTACGGATGAGCTATGGTCCTATGGCGGTCAGCTAAGCATCGCCGTACGGGGCACCGCGTTAAAACATGTGTGCTGGGGCGTCTGGAACTCCGAAAATGAAACCATGACCACCAGCCCCCCCCTCTCCTCTAAACACCCGATTTTACTTAGGGGTAAATCTTTCCTACACGTTGCCTAAAATCATCAAAACACTTTGACGGCCAATCACAGGGTCAGAATTGTCAGTTCCATTCAATATCAACCTTCCGAT